ATTAGCCAAGATATTTACTTATGCCATGTAAGATGTAAATTTTAATGTCAATTGTTGTAGAGTATGTAACACGACAAAAACTTATAACACCATCTTGATTTCCTGCTGCATGCAAAACCGTGACTATTTCTTGAATGTATTGAAAATGCTCATTCTGTAAGTTTATTATTGTCTCTGGAACGGTGATGTTATGGTTTGATTCTATATTTGCTGCAGCTCCATTTTCATCAATTCCATAATCCTCCTAATTAATTTGCTGGTCATCTTGCACACTTCTTACAGCATTGTAATTAGAGTTTCCACTGCTAATCATACCCTGAATCCATAGCTGAATTTGGCCGCAGTTGCATTCTGTACTTAACAAGTTGGTTGTTCCATCATTCTTTTGATTCCCGAAGTGCTTGATTTATTAGGGGAATATAGATAAGGTGTAAAATAAATAAATGAAGTTCAATTGCTGTATCCAAAACAAATGACTGGAGGTACACAAAATTATTTATAAAACGACGAGACACAATGCTATTTACTTCACGCCACAGACGTTCGATTCGTTGATTGTGAACTGAGGTGCCAGTGATAATACGGCCTCGATTTGTTCCCTAAATTGTATCATGAAACACCCCCCCCTTTCTATGTTTTCCATTCCCAAATCTGTTCTCACTCTTGATGGAAAGTTGTACTGGCAGACGACTCCTCTAAAGCATTCTTGAACTGTGGAGGCTAGATTGTTGGTGGATGCATGAAAGAAAATCACGAGTCCAGAATATCCATCTATTCCATGGATAACTATTCTGTATGGCTGGATAAGCTTGTGATTTCCATCAAAATGCATAGAAAGAAGGGTTAACAATGCATGAATTGCTTAAAGAATACTTATGACCTTGTTGAAAACATAGATTTTGCAAATGATTACTGTTTCATTATTTTTACCTGTTTAACACTAGAAATTTTGCTGCAAAATTATAGTAATGTGAAAATATCATTGCATCATACGAAATTAATGAAATTTAGGCTCACTGAACATATTATGTAGCAAAAACCAAATTATAATAAAAAGAACTAAATACTGACGCAGACTGGCCTGTAAGGATACTGGACACTTTACCAGTGCACACCTCACTTGGTCTACTGCACCCCTGAAAACGTTGAACATTCGTTTGCCAATTAAAAAAATGTTTTATGTTAATTAGCACACACCTCTTATTTATATGCTCTTCTGCTCCCCCTTTGTTCGGGAAAGTAATAAAGGAAAGACTGGTCGTATAAATTATTAAAGTAAAACAGAGAAAAATATTGTTGATGCAAAGTAAAATCCAAAAGCAATTTGTCTCTATCATTTTCAGGCCTTGCGTTATGGGGCGCGCTCCCACACGCACCCAAATTGACTGAAGCGAGCGATCCTAAGAGCGCGCCATTTTACGATTTCTTCCACAAAAAGCGAAACTGTCGTGAAAAATATCAAATTACTGAATTACATCGATTTGCAGATAATTTTAAAAATTTTTTGATAGGAATTCTCCTTTCATTAATACAAAAATCACGTGCGCCTTTACCTGAAAATACGATGTATGGCCGACTTTGGCCAGCACTTGACACTTGATCAGAAATGGGCATTTCTTGACTTTTGGAAGAAAAATGTCGATGAGTATTGAGAAAATATATAGTATTTGAGGCATCTACGCTAATTAAAATTGTTTACAATTTTGTAGATGAGGGTGTTTTTTCTACTCTTGTATAACATGTAACACCAAAGCATTTTGTATATCAAGAGAATTGGACTAGCCTGTGGGTTGGAACCAGTGGCGGATTCAGTGTACGTCAAAATAAATTAAAGCTCCTCCATTTTAAATTCAAATTACATTCAGAAAAACACTATTGGTTTTCAATTTCTAAAGAATACAATCTTACCAATGGAATAGCGTCTGAGGTATTTAGAAATGTAAATATACCCCAAAATGTGCTGCAGTAATTTATTTTGACGTACTCTAGATCCGCCACTGGTTTGAACATGGCACACTATTCTCAAAAAAAACGGATTGCGCCGATTCCTATGTTTTGTTTTACAACAACCATCTAGTTTATTTGGGTTTCTTTACTGTAACTCAATACATGCCAATAATTTATACTCAACACACATATACGTAAGTAAACAAATGTTTAATACTCCCCACCTACAAATAACTACTTGCAATAAATGGCACCCACAGCACAACGTTTTGAGTTTTCCAGGTGAGGTCTTAAGAAGCTAATCCACCCTTTACCAAATACTGAAAAATGCGAGATTTCTCAGGAATATGGCAGCTAACATAATATATTTGGGCATGCTACATAGTATTGTCTTCTTACAATGCTTCTTGAGGTTCTCAAGGTCGCTGTGACAGGGTCAACTCGTTGAAGATTTTTTAGCACCCGGCGTCTTTGTACACGCAATCCACGCCTTCGTAAAGCATCTTGTACTAACCTATAGCGAATTTTAGGTGTCACTTGCAAGATGTTACCAACAACTACATCGATTTCATCATCTCTAATGGTAGAATTCAATTCCCTGTTCCTGTTATCAGAGAAAAATAAACGACGTCGTCGTCGTATGGTAATCTTGGACACTCCAAAATTTCTGGCAATTTCTGCCCATGAAAGGCCTCCTTAAAGAATTAAGTACTTCGATCGCCTATTCCGAGACTTTCAGCTTTGGTCACAGAATAAAGAATGTAACAGAAGCGCCACTCGATGTCGGAGCCTTTGATGTTTGTGTCCCTTGTTTTCAATTCTACAATTCGGGTATTTTAAACGGCGGCCATGTTTCCAGCCAAATGAGTGCAGTCAGATCGTAATATAATATATAGTACGGATGGGTTTTGGCAAATAAACCCAAATATTTTTATAGATTGGCCATTTTTTAAATATTTTTTGTGTGGATACATTTAACACATTAAGCTTTCAACAATTTATCCATTAATTCGACGTCCGTTTTGATAAATGAGGGTTTACTCTGAATATTTTCAAAGTAGGTATGTATCTGACGAGATGTGTACTCGGTATATGGTTTGTCGTCAGTTTTACTTTTATCATAAAAGAATTCTGCAAAGAATCTTGAAGATATTTGTTCTAACATTTGAAATCTCGGTTGTGGCTGAAACAAGTGACAAATCATATTATCTTCCAGTAAGTTTATATATTGCAAAGAACGTTTGGCAGGACATTCGAACCACCAAAATTGTCTACCCAGCTGTTTTAAAATATCAGATGCGCTGCTGCATGGCCACTATGAAGGTCATCTGATGCCAAAATATTTTGTATTCATCACAGTTGTGACTTGTGAAGCTTGAATGACTTTTTGAACAAGTTGGAACGTCAGCAGCAGCATGTTGGTCTACCAGTAGAATGCTTGAATAGCAATTTGTAAAACATATACTGTCATATGGTCCACATGACTTAACTTTGTTATTTCTGCCTTTTTAATTTCAATCAAGAGATTATTTATATATTTGACATAGATGCTTATTGATGATGTGAGAAGTGAACATAGAAAAGCTTCCTGAACGCTTTTGTGAATTAGATTGGTGTTGGCTTGGCACAGTTTCCTTCTGTTATCAAATGTTTTAAAAAAATTGTCTGTTGTATCTGTGTTTCACCTTTTGGTAAACAACTTACTGTGTAAAATATTAAGATTTAAATAATGGCATTAAGAGTAACTATAACTGGTTATTGCAGATTAAGCTCTGTTTGTGATATGATTATTTACAATAAAAATTTTAATTTCTTGAATGAAGTTTATGGATTTTAGCAAAAATTAAATGTTCGAGCCCTTTGTTGCAATAATTTCTCACACGATCCGCTTTATGTGCTCACACGATCCGTTTTTAGGATCTAACAAAATCAGATCGAGTGAACGGGCCTTAATCAAACTTGCCATACCTTATTTGTAATACATGCAAACAAAGGCACGCGTTCTGAAAGTCGACGGTTGATTTCCAGCAAAAAATACTCCCGTGCTTTACATCTTATTTCATTTTACGTTTCAAATAATTTTACAGATAATTTCATTACCATTTCGAGCGAAAACAACTTTTTGAAAACATGTTTATATCTCCAACAAATTTGTCTTTAAAATGCTTTTTGATTAAAAGTACGATACTTTGTTTACTCAACCGATCAATCGAACGCATGTTTACAAACGCAGAAACAGACAATATTATAAAACAGTAGTTTTGTTTCCATTATTTCCTTTATAACATTTTGATAGAACCTTTCTTCCAATGATTCTGTGCGAACGCGATAAAATGATGTATAGTTATAGCAGAGAGCAAACGTTTCATCTTATTCATAATTCATATTTCACGGTTGAACTCGCACCATGCGTTTAAATGATTTTTGACGTTTAGTTACATTCACACCGATCTTTCAAGTAATAATAAAAGCTCGAACGAAAATAAATACATGCTTACACTACATTTTTCTCACCGTGTGACCATAGAGCGCAAGATAAAAAATGTGAACAGAGCAGGCTAAATACGGCACGGTGAATCCTTTTCATGTGTTTTTCGCCAAACGAGATGTGTATAATTGATGTCGGTAATCACTCGATTTTAGTATCTACTGTATAAGGTTGTTTAGGCCGCATATCTATTCGGATTCCAGACATTTAAAATCAAATAGAAACTTACAGGAGTTCCGAAAGGTTCTAACCTTATTGTGATTGTTCGTTCCCCTTGATTCCGTTAACCCCCTCCCCCCCGAATTGTTAACAGACAGACACAAATCGAGATTTCACCAATGTTAGTCAACAGATTTGGTCTTGATTCAGATTTGTAAATTTTAAAAATGTATTTTTACATGGAACGCCCAAACACCGTAATTATTATCTTTTGGGTGTTTTGGGACTGAAAGTAAACGTATTTTTACGAAAATTTTAGATCATGTATAAAATTTTAGATTTTGTCTAATATTTCCGATTCTGTTTCAAGTATATAGTGTCGGTCATTTTACTTCCTGTTTACATTCTTCGTTTCTAAGAACTCGTGTGTTGCCGCAGCTGTCGTTAAAAATTACAGTTGGATTGAGATGATAAGTGAATATCACTTTATTTAATAGAATAAAGATTTCCGTTGATGTTGATACTTCAAATGTAGGAAATATTGTAAGTGTCTTTATACATTCTGTTTAAAAATTAATATTATGTTTCGTTGTATTGTGTTATGACTGGAGATATAGCATTATATTCTATAAAATTTGCCAGATAAATAAACGGTTTATTCTTGCAATCAAACAGGCTACTATAAGCAAGTTGCCTGAAACTCTGGTATTGATTTTTAAGATGACATTGCACTAATTTTCGTCTTTTTAAGAGCGCGATGTCCTTAGAGTCATTGAGAATATATATTGTCTCGCTTCCGCAGTTATGGCATGATCATGATTCGCAAAGTTTCTCTCGAAAGATTATGTTAAATGATAGTTTAGTTTCATCAATTTGTTTATAGGCTTATATTTTGTTAACGATGTTCATTTTAACTCACAATACGAGGCTTAATTGTTGCTGTTTGTGTATGGAAATGTTACTGAATATATAATCAGCTGGCTGAACTGCGTTTAGCTTGCGCTCGAAGCAAATTTATAGCTTGCGCTCGAAGCAAACAAGTCGGTTTACCCGATAAATTTTGGTTGTCCGGCATGTGTGAAATCTATTGCAAATGTTTTGGTCTTTGCAAATCCCAGAAAAATCATCTAAAATGATAATTTCTGAAATTTGCCGAGTGTAATATAACGATCACGGACGAAGGCACTTTAAGAAAAATGACAAAAATGTTACTATATCCATTTTAACTATCGTGCATGACTTTTTTCTCTTGAAATGCTGAAATGGTACTTTTTACTGCTTTTAAAGGACAGCACATTTTTAGTTTTCTTAATATTTTTTGCTCACGCAATAATCATGTGGTTTTCCACACTTTCTTCGATTTAGCTTTGCCTTCACATGCTGAGACATGACCTTGGCTTATACAATCCATATTTTGCTGGTGCTACTTTTCGATATCGACTATGAAATGGCGCAGAATATGCCGAATCAACTTTTTTGGACTGACATAAATTTCCCATTTTTAGACCAGCACTGATGGATTTGATACTGGCAGCTTATTAGCCTCCAAATTTGCTATAATTTAAGAAATTAAGTAAGCAAATGCAATTCGCTTTTTTTAAAGTGCTACTATGACGAAAATTTCGCCTCTCGTTTTTTTTTCATAGATTAATAGTGTGTGTAAAAAAATGTCTTCTGGCGAAATTTTATCGCAATATATTTAATGCTGCTTGAGTTACGTAACGATAAAACTTGA